AGCCGTGTCGCTCCAAAACTGTTATACAAATGCCGCTGTGTAGGCCCGTCGCTGTTATGTAGCCCCTTCTACACCGTAATACAACCCCCCCCCCCTCACACTCTTATGTAGACTACCACACTCATGTAGCCTTGTTAGTTATGTATATGTGACGTTACTGGACCTCATAAGGCCCAACAACCTCCACAGGTATAACCTCAACTGGTCCACGATTCATCAAGTATTTACACCACCATTTACGAAACCTGTACATCTTTCCGCCCTCATGGGGTGGCTTTGTTTACTTTTACCAATGTAAACAAAGCCGCCATGATTTTTGAGAGATATACAGGTTTCGTAACTGAATGTGTAATTGCTTTTAGTTAGAACGAACGATTAAACCATAAAATGTAAGTTGATTAATTGACTGACACTTGCTTATTGATACTTTTTATCTGCATTACAGATAAAAAAAAAAAATTTGAATTCAAACATTTTTTTAATTCAATTTTTTTTAATTTTTAGATTCAAAATCTTGGAGGCCTATCAATGACGTCATGTCTAGGCTGGTTAACAGGAAGACCAATAAAATCTAAAAAAAATAGGTTAATCAGAGATGACGTATAATGCCAGCCAATTAAATGGTTTAATTGACAATGACGTGACACGCAATTAACTAATTACTAGGCTTCAACGGGAATTACGTCATTCAAATTGAACCAATAAGAGGGCTTCAACGACAATGGCGTCATGTAAAATGAACCAATAAGAGGGCTTGAACGCCGGAGACTCAAGCCCTCGAAGCCTGATGTTAAATAAGCAATTAACGGACAGTACAGCCTGTGTAGCCAGTGTGAAACAGCGTTGTTTAATATTGTGGAGAAATATCTGTGTGAATTTGATATCCGAGTTATCTCTCTCTCTCTCTCTCTCTCTCTCTCTCTCTCTCTCTCTCTCTCTCTCTCTCTCTCTCTCTCTCTCTCTCTCTCTCTCTCTCTCTCTCTCTCTCTCTCTCTCTCTCTCTCTCATAAAGACGGACAAAGCTGTGGACAAAGATAAACCATTTAGTACGGGTGGAACACGAACAAGGGGACACAGGTGGAAACTGAGTACCGAAATGAGCTACAGAGACGTTAGAAAGAATTTTTTCAGCGTCAGAGTAGTTAACAGGTGGAATGCATTAGGCAGTGATGTGGTGGAGGCTGACTCCATACACAGTTTCAAGTGTGGATATGATAGAGCCCAGTAGGCTCAGGAATCTGTACACCAGTTGATTGACAGTTGAGAGGCGGGCCTAAAGAGCCAAAGCTCAACCCCCGCAAGTACAACTAGGTGAATAAACACACACACACACACATTGATAGGGTAGATAAAGACAGTCTATTTAACACAAGGGGAACACGTACAAGGGGACACAGGTGGAAACTGAGTGCCCAAATGAGCCACAGAGTTATTAGAAAGAACTTTTTTAGTGTCAGAGTGGTGGACAAATGGAATGCATTAGGAAGAGATGTGGTGGAGGCTGACTCCATACACAGTTTCAAGTGTAGATATGATAGAGCCCGATAGGCTCAGGAATCTGTACACCTGTTGATTGACGGTTGAGAGGCGGGACCAAAGAGCCAGAGCTCAACCCCCGCAAACACAACTAGGTGAGTACACACACACACGCCCAGGACAACACAGTAAAAACACCTCATCAAGATTTTGTTTTCTCGCACTAAAAACAAAAAAATAAAGACTTTTGCAAAACAAAGTTTGTGCGCACCCCGCCCGAGACTTTGAACTTAAACCCCCAAGTGAAAAACACGACAACATCCGACAAGAAGAGACTCAAGAGGTTGTTTTCTAAGATTGTCCCTTCCCCCCTCCCCCCCCCTACCTTCTTTGACACCTGAGGATGGCGCTAGAGGAACAAAGAGCATTTCTCGGCGCTGATAACAACACTCTCTACCTCCTCCTGGTTGACGGTCGGGTACCATAGAGAGTGATTGTCATTTCTGCTCTGAATGTCAAAGTGAAGAAATTCAAAGAAGCGCGGGTAAACGGCGGGAATAACTATGACTCAAGGCTGACCTGGTTGACGGTCGGGTACCATAGAGACTATACCTCTTGGCTGACAGTCGGGGACCATATCCAGGGCCACTTTGAAAAAAACTGTCACTAGCACGCGCGCATACAATTTAGTCAATACTCACCACAGTTTGCGTATACTCACCATGTACTGCTGTGAGTCACAGTCCTCACAGCACATACATTCCTCATACCTCACCTCTGTGAGAGAGGTGAGGTATTATCTCCCATAATACTCGTATTTAGAACTTTTCCCTACATGCTGGAGGTACAATATGTCATGTACTCGCTCTTTGTACTCACTAGACTCACCGTATGTACCCATACTCACCACATGTACTCATATGTACTCACCATGCCATCCCCCAGAGGCGAGGACAGGCGGCAGGGTAGCGCAGCGGTGGCGCCGGACTGCGCAGTAATCTCTGTGTAGTTGGACTGTAGAAATATTCCGTTCTTGCCCAGCGCATTGCTGCCTTGACCAATCAGACTGTTGGGGGAGTTGCCGTGGGGACCTGCGGATATTGACAGGCGAAACTTAGTACGCTAGATAATAATAATAATAATAATTTAATCAGTCATAATATTGCAAAATGTTTATGGGTGTGATGATGGCACAATGTCACTTTGCAATGTTTTTTTGACACCAATCCTGACCCGTCAATGTTAGGCGTGTACCCGTCAGCAATTACTGTTAAAAATTGGGTGAAGCAAGCCTCATCTTTCTGGTCTCCAACCTCGGATAGACACATTTATTTTCATTTATAGTGACTAGGTGGGATACCCCCAATGGTGGCTGGGTTGATCTTCCGACTCCAGATCATTGCATGTTTTCCTGTTGTGTGTGTGTGTGTGTGTGTGTGTGTGTGTGTGTGTGTGTGTGTGTGTGTGTGTGTGTGTGTGTGTGTGTGTGTGTGTGTGTGTGTGTGTGTGTGTGTGTGTGTGTGTCTCCCCCCTTTCCCATCTTCCATCCCGTCCCCATTCTCCCCCTCTTTTCCCCTCTCCTCCACTCCCCCTATCCTCTACCGCCTCTCTTCTACAATACCACAACTCTACAACACTGTACGAACACTTCACATACTCGTTTCAACACACAATACATAAAGTCTAATGGGAAACAAATAATCAAAGTTTTGGGTGTTTAAAGAGAAGTATTATGATTATATTTTGTAATTTTAGTGTGTTCACTGCATACAGTTTCTGATGAGTACTGCACCTTTGTAATACTACTACTACTAATAATAATTATAATAATTATAATAATTATTTATTATTTTCTAACACCAATACCAACCCGTCCACGTTGGGTACGTACCCAACAGTAATTACTGGAAAAAAATGGGGTGAAACCACCTAAGAAACATCTGGTCTCCAACCTCGGAGACAGACAGACATTCCCATTTATATAAATTATAAACACCGTTGCCTGTTTATTTTGCAACTGTCCATTTTGGCCAGCATTTTTGGTCCTAAATTGTAAGTGAACAAAAATAAGTGTTAGAGGTGTTTTCACATTAATTGGAAAATCATATTGATGATTGATTGATAAAGATTAAGCCACCCAAAAGGTGGCACGGGCATGAATAGCCCGTAAGTGGTGGCCCTTTTGAGCCATTACCAGTATCAATAGATGATACTGGAGATCTGTGGAGGTGCGACTGCACCCTGCGTGACGGGAGATGTATCCCGTCTGAAAATCATATGAATTTCTGACAGTCGTGTAGCAGAGGCCCCGACACGCGACACAGTCTCCCTCAGTGAAACACAGTTTTCTATAAAGTTGTACAGCTTTGTGTTATCATATTCCATCTTTCATACTCTTGGAAACATTGCTGTTGTATAAGTTGAGAACCTGGCTGTTGTATGATTACCCTGACCCATACACAGAAAACTGTCTGGGTACACATTGTATGTATATGGATACACATAACAAGTCATGTAATCTGGAATACATAAGCCGTATACTTCAGAAACTGAAGGTGCTCATTACATCATCTCCAAACACACGTGGGAGACCCATGGTGGGTGTGGCTGTGCCGGCTTGCTCAGGAGGCCACCATGATAAACAATCTATGGTAAACTAACCATGCTAAACAACCATGGTAATCTATATATTCTGCCCGAAACGTTGCGCGTACTAGAGGCTTTACAAGATTGTAAATACTATGCTATGTATTCTCACAAACCCAATGTACCTTTTTGTATATAAATAAATAAATAAATCGCATAATGCGAGGCTCCCTCGATACCCCAAGCCGGTTTAATTCACAGTTAATATTATCTTATCTCAAGTGCATTGAGAATAGCCTCGTGTGTGTGTGTCAGATTATTCGGCTTCACTTTCACAGTGTTTCAACGTCATCAATGATACTCTTAAGTGCATACATACTTACGTGTATACATAAATAAATATACGTCCAATATTCATACTATTTCATCAGTCTTTAGGTATAGCAATAAGCAGATAAGACGGATTCTCGTAGCATAATGTGAACGCTGAAGCCATTGTGTGCGTGACGGTGATTGGTTGGGCAGAGAGAGGCCTGCGCTCCCATTGGCCATCTTCCACTAGCATAATATGAGCCGTAGAACTCATGTAAGTGTGATGGTGATTGGCTGAGCAGAGAGGGCCTGCACTCCCATTGGCCTTCTCCCACGAGACCAGTAAAGGCGGGAAGGGGGTCCTGCCCCCCCCCCCACAAGCTTCCAGCTGCATGGAGGGGAGCAGGAAATTGAAGACTTGATAATGACTGAAGATGAGGCGGAATGATTCCTTTCTTCGCGAATATGTTGGTGGCATCGCTCTGGCTCGCGTGTGAGCGCGCGCGTCGTGGCATTTGCTCAAATCCGGCATTGTATTAAGGCGAGAGGTTGTGGTGCTGAGCAGATCCAGGATTCAACGAGGATTTACGCATCTGCTCGCGAACCTGTACATCTCTTCTCGATCTTTGGCGGCTTTGTTTACATATATATTAAACAGCTGATGAGCTCCGATGCACCAGGAGGCTGTCTGTAACAATAATAACATTTGATTGGGAAGTTTAAATGCTCAAAATGTTTAATAAATGTAAACAAAGCCGCCAAAGGTTAAGAAGTACAGGATGGTAAGTACTTGTTGAACCCAGGCCAGGAGCGACGGAAGAGGTCCTCTCTTGAGAATGTTCCACAAGATATAACTCTCGCTGACATAAGTACACACTCCAAGTCTCCGACCCAGAAGTCACTTCAGTGTAACTTCCTCAAAACCCTCCACCCATTCCAGTCTTCCCTTGCGCCCAACCATTTCGGCTGGACGGTAGAGCGACAGTCTCGCTTAGTGCAGGTCGGCGTTCAATCCCGGACAGTCCAAGCGGTTAGGCACCATTCCTTGCCTCCCGTCCCATCCCCAATCCTTATCCTGACCCTATCCCTGTGCTATATAGTCGTAATGGCTTGACGCTCTCACCAGACAATTCCCTGCTCTTCCGTTGCAGAAATAAATATTCCAGGAAAAGTTTTGAAGACAATTACAATCATGAAATCTTACACAACTCTGGGACTGAGGTGAAGGTTGTTTTGGTATCACTTTAGAACCTGGTTGATACCTGGTTGATACCTGGTTGATGGGGTTCTGGGAGTTCTTCTACTCCCCAAGCCCGGCCCGAGGCCAGGCTTGACTTGTGGACATCAACCTGTTGATGATCGATAACTTCTCGTATGTTCAGAGAGGGTCTGAAACTGTCCGACCTCTCCCGGGACAGGGAGCCACGGAACTTACCAGGGGGTCCAATTCTGCCTGAAACGCTATGCATTTTAGCGGCTTTGCAAGAATCTAAAAATACCAGCATTAAATACTCTCACAAACCCACTGAACCTTCTTGTTAATAAACAAAATATAGAGAGGTATGTGATCTATGTTCCACAGGATCTGATCAATATCGCAAGATGTGACCTTTGCAACTCCGGGATTCACCACACAGTTGAAGGGACGGGTTCCAGGCGGGGATGAGAGGCTAGGGGAGTCGAGTGGGGTTTCAAGGAAATTAAGGAGAAACCTTGAATCTGAAGGGGCCTGGGTGGATTTAAAGGTTGCAGGTTGAGGCCTGTTGCAGCCGAACTGGGGTTCCTGGATCCAGAGGAGCCCCGGTGCCAGTCAAGAAGGAGGCGATCTCTATGAGTAAGCGAAGTAGGCTCCGCGGTAATGGAGCTTCGAGGCTTCAGTAAGCGCCAAGACACCCGATCAAAATAGAGGGAAAATTTTAATGTGATGGGCCACTGTTGGCCATAGTTCGGCCGAGTTTGGGGCGACAGTTATATACACGTTTATATATATAATACATATTTATTTACCAGTGTACTGTGGTGGGTATGTGGGCCTGCGGGCCGCTCCAAGCAACAGCCTGGTGGACCAAACTCTCACAAGTCGAGCCTGTCTTCGGGCCGGGCTTCGGGAGAAGAAGAACTCCCAGAACCCCATCAACCAGGTATCATCCAGGTACTAGGTCGACCATATGAATGCAGATACGCTACACACACACGACTTCACTCACAACTTGGACCAAGTTATTGGCCCTCTAAATAGTGTCGTTACAGGCCATCGGGGGATCGAACGCCGACTCTGTAAGATGCAAAGTCGTCACTGTACCAACTAGTCAACATAGACGGACAGTGACTCGGGAGGTGACATTCGCGACGCTGATCTCACACCATCACACCCACCATGGCGAAAGGCTTCTAAAGTCGTTCCAAGACGAATTTTACATTTTCTGAGGAGGTCGATAGCATCTCCAGGGTATCTGAGGGTTCAAGTTGTCTTTTGAAAGTCAAGTAGCAAGTGTATTATAACACAGGACTGGGAACAGTGAGTAGAGAGGACTGGGAATAACGAACAGTCTTTTAAAATTGTCAGCATCTACCTCCTATCATCTATATTCTGTCTTGGTAGCCACTGGGAAGGTGTCCCAAGGGAAGGTGTCCCAAGGGAAGGTGTCCCAAGGGAAGGTGATAGTTGAGACCCTTGTGTCTACTGTACACGAGACTTGACTATAAACAAATCACTTCCAGACTATGGCGAAGCTCAGGCCCCCAGATGTACATGTTTCCAAAGCGTGTGTCTTGTATCCTGCTTATGTTTATAGACTCGCTACTGTTCCCATGACCCAGAGAGCAGTTTCATAGACTCCTATGACTGATTGATGCCTACTACTACTACTATTTCTACTATTTCTACTACTACTACTACTACTACTTCTGCTGCTGCTTCTACCACAGCTTCGGTCTCTTTCAGCATAAGCTGGTGTTCCACAAGGTCCTTTACTGTCATCTACTCTCTTCATATTAATCATCAGTTATCCACGCACCTGTATGTGTGTGTGTAGTTATCTCTTCATACATTGATGACTCCAGTGTGCTCTCATCCCCCACAGTTATAAACCACCTCATTCAACACAATCTCGTAACTCTGCAGCATTCTTATCTTATGTCTCATCTTAATTCCAGTTATCTTTGGATCACGTAGAATCTAAATTTAATAATA